AAAGGGGGGGGAGAGAGTACCTTTGGCTGTTGGTGATGGGTTGAAGGGGACAGCGGGAGTGTTGCGCGCGAGGGGGCAAGGGGCGCCAGCACTCATCGGCCGAAGGGGCTTCCACGGGTGTGTGTTAGGCTTGTGCTTAGGAGGGTATGTGCACGCCACTGCTCGCCTCTCTCTGTAGGGACACGTCGACGCGCCTGTGTGGATACGTGGACGGACGTACACGGGATCTGTGCTCTCCGTTGCTTGCCGTCTATCTGTACGCCCATCTCTGTCCCTAGCTCTTTCTCTCGTCTTTCTTTCTTTCTCTCTTTCTCTCTCTCTTTCTCTCCGTGACAGGCACACTGCTGTGCTGTGCGATATCGTTGCGCGCGGTACTGTGTTCTACTCGTGTGCGCGCACCGCGGCACAACTTACACGCATGCCACTGATGACGACGAGTCATCGGAGTAAGCGAGCCTCGAGTGCGTGTTCCACCATGGGCTCTTTAATGGTCCCGTCTTTTCGAGTTATTAGCTGACCGAGCTAACTGCCTCTACCTCGACCACCTGAGGGGTTTGATAAGGGAGGCTGCGTTCGAGAGGGTGCCTGCTGCGCTTCGGTTGCAGGAACACACCGGGCTGTAGGTATAGGGAATGCGCGCGGCCGCTGCACGGTTTTACAACGACGACTTTGTTCCACGATCGCTCGCTTGCCCGTGCTGAATGGGGGATTGAAGAAACACGCGCCTCTTGGCGGAGCTAAGATACGTCGTATATTATAGGGAACAGTTACGTTTGTTACGTGTGTACGAGTCTCTTCGGGAAAATATACATATAACCACGATTAGAAGGTGTAATTTTGCTGTTATACGTAAAACTGTGTGTAACATTCGAGTGTCGATGAAATAGGGAAACAGAGAATTCTACTCGTTTACAATTGTAACAGTTACATTTTTGTAAGCACAAAGGAGGATTGAAAATCGAACTTTTTCAACGTGACATCAAATTCGACTTCCATTCGCACTTACAGATCGTCGTACTTCGACGTATCAAAAGCCTCGGTCGTTCGTTCAACAGAAATATCGTCGTAAACTTCGAACCCTAGCACGTAACTTCAAGTGACAGTCAATGATAGCACGGCGTATTTCCGTGCCGGTATAGAGCACCTCTGCGACTCTATACTTATAATCAAGCATCTTGCACAATCTATAATCTGTTTGGCATACCCGCATCACGAATTGGCAGCTGAAGTTTTACCACCGCCTATTTTTATCCCTGCCACCGAACGGAAAAAGATCCACGTTGTAACGCCACCACACACACAAACACCTAGCCTAACGGACCGCAGAATTATCACTTCCGTCATTCCATTTTTCCAGCCGGTGAAATCAATTACTCGTTGAAGCCACTTTTCGTCCCTTTTTTAACGCGTTACATCGCTCGACGGGCCTGTCCGCAACAGCTCCATCGTTTCACATTAGCGACTTCACATTTCACACAGCGACGATCCGAAGGCGTCGAAACGAATAGCTGGCTGCCTCTTTATACCGCTAATCAGATTAAACCGTGTCTGCGGTCCCCAATTTTTAAACGACACTCTCGTTGGAGCCTGGTCTCGAATTGAAAAAGTCGCGGGGAAAATAAACCCCGTCTCTCCCTCCCCTATCTCGGCTGCCGAGATTGTTTCTAATTCCTCCGACCCTGTCGATAGGGGTAGTCGAACGGGGGAGGAGGAGGCTTATCGGCCGCGGCCGTACACACGATAACGATCTAAGCAACAGTTTGCCGCGGGGGTGGAAAACTTCGGGACACGGCGGCGCATAAAAAAGCTCGAAACTTTCCGGTGAAAGTGTGATCTTCCGCTTTCGATTCGACTGCCGCTCTCGCCATCGGGGGACACCACCCCTCCTCCTCCACCGCCGCCGCCCCCCCGGTCACGTTGTATACGTACGAGAAATTCCGCGCGTTCGATCCGCAGCCTTCTTCGGTTCCTTTTCCTCGCTTCCTCGGATTTCCAGCGTGCATAGATTGTCTTACTACGGCGATCACCTCGAAGCTTTCCCCGTTTCGAGGTGTTCCCGATGCTCTTGGAGCATTGAAAAGATTCGTGAAAATTGCTGATACGTACCTATGCACACACACGTAGTTTGATACTGTATGTAAGTGTAGAGGTGATAGGGAGGGACTTTACCGTTTCGTTGGTATTGAAAATTTGCTCAAACTATACTTTTGAAGTCTTTCGGTGCACTTCCATCTTTAAACACCTTCATCGTTAATTTAACTATCCGAATTTTGAAATAATACGGTTTAAACGACAAATCTTCTCATATTATAAATATTTTCGTTACTTTAATCATCATACATTTGTGTAATTTTGAGCAATACAATGCCTAGTAAAATAAAATATAATGGTCTCGCTGGAATATGAAGAAGATTTTAATATTGGGTGATTATCACGACATTCACTGCCCAAGGGTTAATGTAATAATAATTTTGAAATTATAATTATTCAACTGCAAATGTACAGAAATGTACTACAACTTAGCGATCATAAATATTCTACTTGTCAGTCTTTTACAAGATTGTAAAATATATACTTTTATAATTATTGCAAAAATTAAACGTTCATTTCTTATCTTAAACAATACGATACTTTTACGCAGTAACGAACTGAAGCTTCTGAAAATAAACATATTGGAATGTTCGATCCAGCGAACCAAGCCTGACGGCACTCTATAAGAACGATGGAGTAGGGTGGGGACAGCCTCCTCCCGTCACGTTTTTTACGAATCGTTTGAGCCGGATGCACAACGTCATGGAACCCCTACGAAAAGCGTGATAGAAGATGCAAGTTCGAACACGATGGTGCAATTCTTTCGACACAACGTCACGTTAACAAAGTTAAATAACGTTAACACGTCTAAGTTTGCAGAACTATGTAAAAATATTTTTCTTTCGTTGAACACCTTATCTATTTACTTCTTCGGTGGGAATAATGCATTTATGCGCATGCAATGTGCCATTTAAGAAAATTACCATGTCCAGTCAGGTGTGTGTCTACGGATCGACATCTTTCATGCAAGTGAATGAATCTCTCGCGACAGATTTTCTATCAATTTATACACTATAGCGAAGATTTACTGGAAAGATCGTTGAGAACTTCGTTTTAGATAAACGGAAGTTCGTGCATTTCTTTAAATATGAATCTTATATACGAAAATAATGCATGAAAGTTTCTTTTAACGTGTGTCACGGAATTTTATAGATGAGAAAAAGTTGTTCTGCAGCTTGCAAAACGAAGACAAAACCTCGTCATTGCATTATACTAGCATTCGTGACTATTTTGGTATGTACCATCGAAGGAGTTTCAGAATTCGTGACAAGCCGACTCAACGCGTGCACAGAATTTCATGAAAGACACTGTCTGATCGCTTACTGTGAATCCGCTCGCCGAACGGAAACGGAACAAGTAAACACGTTAAAACACAACCATCATTTTTTCCCTTTCATTATTTCCAATTCCTAAACATCTCTCCGACGCGCCTATACTTCTTCGCCGTTCGTCCATTTCCATTTTAAATGTCTTTCAACTTCCGCCGTCCGCACCAGTTTCTCACAGAAAACACGTTCATTTGCGCGCGAGCTTTCGTCGCGTTCTCTGTCGCGTTTTCTGTCGCTTTAGGGAACAGCGGAGAGATGTAAGTTAACCGAGAACCAAGGCGCGCCAGAAGGCGCGGCAAACAAACTTCCTAAGCGCGCAAAAAGCCGCGAATGAGAGCTGTGGAACGTCTTCGTCCAGGAGTAGGAACGTGTGTATCCGTGATCGTGGTGCGAACATAGCTCGTCCGCGGCCTCGCAACGTGTCATCCCACGAGGGAACAAAGACCACTCGACCCATCGCACACCCCCGCACACTTTC